TACTGATTTATTTCTGAATCTGTTTTTAGGTTAGTTAGTCGTCGTTTGGCCGGAAAGAGGAGGAACGTTAAAAACGACAGTCACTTACATTCTAAAAAAACTCCATGGCGTTCTATTGGCATTCTGGCGACAATCTGGCGTTCGAAGGTAAAATGAAAACTTTAAATTAAAACGAAAACTTCAAAACACTTAGAAGCACCGACGCAGCTGCATATAAAACCACAAAGTTGATGACCGGCGCCGGTGCCCGTGTTTACAATTTTTTTGGTCGCTAGTGTCGCGAGCTCCCGAGAGATGGCGCACTGCAATCACGTCTGAACGACACTATCTCAAGAACAAGCCAAGGTAGACGATGGTGTGGACATCCAACATGTCCATGGTTACGTCGCTGGCCATGGTCAGTCGAGTACAGAGTATCATGATTGTGGAGATGGGCATGGGTGATCACCATGGTCTAGACAGAGTCCATGATTAAAATTCTGATTTTTCATGGTCAAAATCTCAATTTGACCATGACGGTCATGTTTTTTTTTTACCCTGCGTCATCAAAGGAGAGCCCTGTGGTCGAAAATTTCGGCCGTTTGGCTCTATCTCAAACCGTTTAGGCGCTGGAGGGTATTTTTTGACTTAAATAATCTAAAAATTGCTGTAGTGAACAATTAGTTGCAGAAGAAGGCCTAAAAACCGCAAAAGAGGAAGGAAACTCCCAAACCTACCCCGAAAAAAACGTTTTCTAAGCGGAAGGGTGGGTTGTAGTCGCGGTGCTTCACCGTTACATCGTGTCTACGGGGCAAATTTTAAAGACGACAGGTTTTTGCGTGCCGAAGGCCCGTTACATCATTTGATTATGTTCTTGAGCAAATTGCGTGACAGAAATGGTCGGGCCGCAGGCCTGACCATCGCAGGCGGCAGGCCAAGCAGGCCCGGCCCCTGCCGAACGGAGTTGCCGGCGGAGCGAGCTGGCAATTCCGTTTGGCGGAAGGGCGGGCCTGCTTGTTTTAACACAAAACGACCCTGAAAATCCCAGGTCGGTAGCTTAATTCGTTTTCGAGTTATCGTGCAGACAGACAGACAGACGTGCAGACACACAGACAGACAAAGTTTTTTTCGACCAGACGGAGTAATAGGGTATTTCAATGGAGCGCTGCCCGGAACTAAGAAGAACAAAACCGGATACAGAGAGCGGTGGTGGGGGCGGGCGCGCGGAGAAGCGGCGGGTGGAGGGGAGCCTCCCCGCCCGCTCTCCGCTCCTCCGCGCGCCCGCCCCCACCACCGCGCTCTGTATCCGGTTTTGTTCTTCTTAGTTCCGGGCGGCGCTCCATTGAAATATCCTATAGGCTTCGCTAATCGCTCAGCCAATATCAATAGTCAAAAATGTTCTTATTACCTTACCATCGCAGACCCAGAGCCCTCGTTGGCAGGCGTTCCAAATAGTCCCTTTAAAGTTACGCCACTAATTGATGCAGCAGCAGATTATATTTCCATGGTGGCTCTACTACAAACCAGTGCCTCCAAAGTTGCAGGCTCGTGCGGTGATTACCGTGGCAGTAGACTACTAATTGTTGCTAGTGTTCTACGTTGCGGAGTGGCCTTTATTGTCCTAAAAGTAAATCTCTACCTTGCGTATGTCTGTTTTTGGATGATTATTTATTATGGGCTTTAAAATTGTACTGGCTAAGTCTCATGTCTGAGGCCGGAAGTCTCATGTCTGCCTTATGTCTGGAAACATGAGACTTCTGTCCGAGACATGCCTCAGACATGAGACTTTGCCCCTGGTGCCCCCCCCCCCTCCCCGCACGACTGAGGTCATGTCCGGTCTCATGTCCAGTCTCATGTCCGTCTCAGGTCCAGTCTCAGGTTTTTTAGTCTCTGTGTAGGGTCTGTCAAAGAGTCTGTTTCATTGACCACGTATTGCTTCTAAGCAACCATGAGGTAGCGACGATACCCCATAAGGTTCTCCTTATTTCTCGTTAAGGTGTGAAAGGCTTATATCCCGTGAAAAAATACTTCGCTTACATTGGTCTAATCCCACAGAGAAAATAGACGACTAATAGACGTCTTTAAGATGTCTACGTATAGCTCGAAGATGGTCAAATAGACGTCTAGCAAAGACGTCTAATAGACGTCTAATAGATGATCTAAGTGCACACTTTCGTTCGCTTCAAATCATCACTATCGCAAGATCCAAGATTATTGCTATCACTCTAAAAAAAGTTACAAGTTCTAATATCAATTTTGGAACAAAATTTTGTAACCTTGGATGCCGTAGCAAAAATTTGTAATGCTGTGACAAAATTTTGTAATTGTTACAAAAAATTATAACTGCAGTACAAACTGTTATAATGTGGATGCAGGTTTTTGTAACCGTTACAAAGTTTTGTAACTGAACCAAATATTTGTAACATTGTTGCTCTTTATCGTAAACCTGATGTTATTTCTTATAATTTTATACAAAGTCTTGCACCCGCAACAAATTTGTGTAACCACATACGAAATTTCGCAACATGGATGCTAAAATGTGTTGCCGACAGTGTTTAAATTCTGCTCTGATGGCGCCATGTGCCCCCATTCCGTCCGTGTCTCTTTCGGTATAAAAATTTCGGTCAGGCGAGGGGGAAGCAGGGTGGGGAAGTCGCTTTCGCAGTCTGTGAGCTGTCAGCGTGCGTGCTGTCTTGCGCGGTGTCCCGGGCGCAGGGAGGGCTTGTCTCCATGCGGTCGTGATAATGAAGTGAGTCTAAAAATGTGATCAAACTGTGCTTTTGTTTGGACCTCTTCTTATTCGTATCATCTTTGTCTGGTATTGCAGTTCATCGTAATCGGGCGATGCGTGGCAGAAACTCATGGGTTTCCAACTGATGCTGTACGGGATTGTGATCCTGCAGACGTGGTGAGAGTTTAGGTCTCCCCTCAATGAAATAACGTTTCAATACATAAATGATAACAATGATAGCGCCTGCGACGTGTTTTGTTGTCAGCTACTGCTCTATTACGTAGGGCCCCGTGCGTTAACATTGTGCACGGGGTAGCTGAGCGAAGTGCATTAACTTTACAGAAGACATAAAAAATATAGAACAAAACTGTACCGAA